GGGGAAATAGGGGTGTATGTGTGTGTCTGGTCGGCTGGTGGCAGAAATGAGAGTTAAACTTTCATCTTCCATGGTGGGAAGTCAATAAGTAATGCTGCCAAACAGAAAAACCAAGAAGTAATATTAGCATGTGCTATGGTCCCCTCCAAAACTGATGTTAAAATTTACTTGCTATTGTGACAGAATTAGGAAGTGGAACCTTCAAGAAGTGATGAGAGCCCTCATGAATAGATTAATGCCATTATCACAGGAACAGGTTAGTTATTGCAGGAGTGGGCTCCTGATAAAGGGATGAAGTTTGGCACCCATCCTTTCTCTGTCTGGAGTGCTTACTTGCTTTCCATCTTCCACCATGATGCAGAATGAAGACCCTCACCAGCTGCTGGTGCCATGCTCTTGGACTTCCCAGTCTCCAGAACCATTAGCCAAATAAACTTCTTTACATTATAAATTACCCAGTCTCAGGAATTCTGTTATAGCAGCAAAAAACAGACTAAGACAGAATGTTATTCAGAAATATGGAGATAAATACTAAAAACAAAAATGGATAAAAGATTCAAAAGTGATTCCTTCTGGGGAAGGGGAAATGGGGAAGAACAAAGCAGGGGCGTGGGACTGATAAATATCTAAATGTTGTAGAACTAGTTGACTCTTTAAACTATGTGCACATGTGACTAATAAACTTAAAATAAGTTGCTATGGTTTGAATGTACCCCCAAGCTCATGTTGGAACTTAACCCTCAATGTGGTGGTGGAAGGTGGAGCCTTTAAGAGGTGATTGGATCTCCAGGACTGTGCCCATTGATGGATTAATCCATTCACGGTTTAATGGGCTGTCATGGGCATGGTTCTGATGGCTTTAAAAGGAGAGCAAGTGAGAAAGTTAACTCTCTTGCTCAGCCCGTTCTCACCATGTGGCACCCTGGTCACCTTGGGACCCTATAGAGAGTTCCCACCCAGAAGAAGGCCCTCACCAGATTTATTTCCTGGACCATAGACTTCCCAGCCTCCAAAACTATAAGAAATAAATTTCATTTCTTTATAAATAACCCAGTTTCAGGTATTCTGTTAAAAACAACAGAAATGGACTCATTTATAAGTGTATGAACATTTGACATATCATAAAAAAAAAGACTCTGAGGTAATCATCATGGGGAAGACAGAAGTTTATTGAATTTCATTATGTGGATGTTATGATTCAGTATTATTTTTACTTTGAATTACATATGGGGGTGGGTGCCAGAATTGTCTCAATGGCAGGGCCTCTAACAACCTTACTGAGCTTGCTCATTTTCCAGGATTGCTACTCCATCTCATGAAACCCTCACAACTACATAGAAAGCCATGAAATATCATGACAGATGAGGGAAACTGAGACTCAGAAAGGGAGAGTAAGCAGTCGGAACTAGTCTTTCTATAGTTGAAAGCAGCATTGGAGTAGACTGGGTACCAGATCCTTCTGCCAGAGAGACCAGGACACTTGTGTTAGCTCCCTATACTGAACATGCACACTGGTTTCCTCTGGCCAAATCTCCACTTTTGCTGCCTACTTCTGGTTTGACTTGCATCACCATTTGAAGTTGGTGAGTGTAGCTTCTCCCTGACATATGAGGGTACTTCAAGATTCCATGACTAAATTCAGACTTTCTGAGTCTCAGAAAGGGAGAACAACCAGTCAAAGCTAGTCTTTCCATAGTTAGTAGATAGGATTGGAGTAGACTGGGTGCCAGATCCTTCTGCCAGGAAGACCAGTGTTCATACTGGGCTGCAGTAAATAAAAATTCCATGTTGAATTCAGGCTGTTTCTGCCTCAACCATCCATGGCTCTTGCTCTTGCCTTTTCTGGGCTGAACTGCAGGTCCACATATCTAGGCAGCCCAGGGGCTGGCCTTCAAATGCCCTGAAGTGCTACCCTATTACTTCGGGGAAGGCTGATACTGCTAAATTTGGAAGGATCGGAGACTCATCTTGTTTGAGACAAGAAAGAGATTTCCCTCCCTGCCCACAAGTTGAGTTCCACCTGGAAAGTTCTGTCCCTGTCTAGGTGGGGTCTTTGCACCTTCCCCCACCCTGCCACCCCCACCTTGCCCACATTCAGTGTTGTAGCCTTGATTCTTGAAATGTAGTTGGGATCATATATCCCGGTGGGGAATATCTCGGGTTTCTGCCTCTCTCATGTTGCTCAAAGCCTGCTTGTTTCACTCGGGGAAATTGGACAGCCTTATCACTCAAAGCAGTCTTATCATTCAAATGTACATTCCTCAGGAGCCCTCCATGTCTTATCTCTCTCTACTTATATGCCTAGTTAGTGTTCTGACACCCAAAACTGTTTGATTAAGACAAAGTGCTACTGCAGTGACCTAACTGGTTAACTATTTCCTGCCCTCAAGATGTGGCTACATGGCTGGGCTAGAATTCCTTTTCCAAAAGACTGGAACCTCTCCAGAGGGAGGTGCTAAGCTTTGTGCATGCTGCTAGTGACGAACCAAGAGTCTGGCTGACTGAATGACCCCTAAGTTTGGGAGGGAGTAAATGAGGGGGGAGGGAGCAGACAAAGGACAATGATTAGAATCTGCAGTAAGGGCTGCAGTTTCCAGGAAGGCCCCACCTCTAGGCATTGTCTCAGCAACAAAGCTTAGACCACAGATGAGACCAACTTTCTTCCCTACCCCTTTCTCCTTTCTTTCCTTCCCTCCCACTTGCACTCTCCTACAGATCACTGGAAGGAACAATAGAACAATGTTTTTCCTTCAAGTGTCCCCTGCTCCCCCCTAGTTCAACCTGACTAACCAAAGTGTAAGGTCATCCTCTGGAGTTTTTGAGACTTAGCCATGAAACTTGCTTTCTCAGAAAGTTTGAGGGAGTGAGATTTCCAGGACAGCTGTCTCCCTCTTATTTTGTGGGAGTTGATCTTCAGGGGCTCCCCTGTGGGGATGGGGATATTACAACTGGGGTTTGCTGAGAGATCCGAGCCTTCAGAGCTATAGACTTAACATCTGTTCTACTTTGAGCCCTGAGAAAAGCCCTGAGTGATTCCAAATTGTTCCTAACCTTCGTTCCTGTCTATCCCTGAATGATCCCTCTGTGAAATCAGAGTCAGGGTGTTCAGTGAAAAGAGCATGGGCTCTGGGTTCAGGCAGACTTAGGTTCAAATTCTGATCCACTACTTTCTAATATCATCTAATAGCAGACCCTGAGCCTCCCCTTGGACCCAGAGTTCTGTCCCTCAGTTATGGGTGGCTGTCTGTCTGCAGAGGGTCTTGTTGCTTGGTGCTGTTGCTTCCTCCTGGTCTTGAAGCAATCTCCAGTCTAACCCTTCTCATACTGTGTACTTGGAACAATGATAAATATGAGTATTGTTAAAGTTAATTTTCAAAATGGCAGTGTGAAGTTAATGCAATTATTCCCATTTTACAGCTGAGACCGAAACTTACTGAGATAATGCACAAAATCACACAACTTTTAAATGGAACCCACATCTTCACGGCTTGAAAGAAGGCAACACAGCAGAAAGGAAAGAGAAAACCTTTGGATTTAGATACCTGAGCTCAGTTCTTGGCTCTTTTCTGGCTGCAGGACCTCATATAACTCCTTTAAGCTTTCTCAGCTTCACTTTCCTCATCTGTCGAATGAAGAGAAATGTTCTGTAGCAGTGTTCTGAGAATGAAATGAATCAGTGTATATAAAATGCCTGTCTCATAGCACCAAGAAGCATTAGATTTCACCACCAGCCCCTTCGTCATCCCACCAGGCTCAGTTATCCTCTTCTCATATTTTGCTGTTCCTAGACCAATGGGGAAATCAGGCAGGAACACAAATAACTCACAGAAGAGAGAAAGCAGTAAGTTCTGTATGAGCATACAAGCTTTTCTAGAGTGACCAAGCAGGACTTCATGGGGACAGTAATACTAAATCTGGACCTGACATGTTTCAATGGGTTTCAAGAAATGGAAAATAGATGGGAGGAGCCCAGGATTCCACATCTGGTAGCTGGACAGGGCATAGAGTGGAGTGATGGAAGTTAAGTATTCCGAAGGCTAAAGGGTTATGGTGTGTTTAGTAGTGTTATTCAGGCCATGCCTATGTGCTAGGTTCCAGGCTAGGCCTGGGCCACAGTACTTAGGCTCACGCTCCAGCCTCAAAGAGGCTGGACCCAGCCCTTCCCCACTCAGCTCCCCATGGCCATCTGGTGGCCATCAGGAGCCCAGGCCCAGCTGGAGAAGCTAACAGTGGGGCAGCTTTCATCATCCCTTTAGAAGGGACGGTGGGGAGTGCTGGGGAGCCTACGGACAAGCCTCCTCCCATCCCACAGAAAAGTTGGCATGAGAGAGAAAGGCCCAATATCTCCTTCGGCTCCTCAGACCAGCTGGGATTCTATTTTTAACCAGCACTGTCGTAGGTTGACAGCTTGGAACGCCTTCTCCCTCCTTTTCTTCCTTCTTCCTCCCTCTTGCAGCCCAGAACCTTTTAAAAACGATGGATAGGAGCAAGCTGAGCACTGGTAAACAGATGACCCACTCTCCTTTCTCACTCTCCTTTGCTTCATCTCGCCTTTCTTCAGGGTAGTTAGTGGGTGGACTCTAGAGGCGTTCTGGCTGTGAAGCCGATGAGGCTTAAATTTCAGGGCTCTTCACTTGCACAAGCACTGGAGGGTCAGGCCCTGGTCAGGGTCCTAGAAATTTCATATCTGTAATTTTTTATGCTTTTTATTCGAAAAGCCCATCCAGTTTTATAAATGTCAGGTCCCACAAAACTTGGATCTCCATCTAATGGTCATGGCTTCTTCCCCATCTCCAGCTCAGTGTCTACAACACTGTAGTACAGAAGCTGTCCAGGATGACAACCAAGAGAATACACACAGCCCCACCTAGCTTCAGACCAGGGGCTTTCTTGGCAGGGTTGTGCACAGGAGTGGGTGGTACTAGGAGGGGCCTAACAGGGAGGGTACTCCACAAAATCCAGTGCTGCATCACCTGTCCCAAAAAAGTCCAGAAAGAAAGTCAGGAGGAAGCCAAGTCATTTATTATTTCTTAAAGAGGATGGGTGAGGAAGGAGGGGCAGGGCTGCAGTCCTTAACCAGAAAGGGATGAAGGAAGTCTTTAGTGTAAAACAGCCTGTTGGTCAGGGAGATGTGAGATTAGGCCTGTTGGTATTTTCAGTGCTGGTTGGGGAAGGGCATTGTGAGGTCAAACTGGGATAGCACAGAGCATCCCAGGAGTCAGTCCTGTGCCAGGCTCCACAGACCCTAAAAGAATCAGTGCCATTAAAGTATGTGTATGAGGGGCAGGTCAGCCTTTGTCGGGTTCCCACTGTGTAGGGATAGTTCACTACCAGGGATGCTGTGTCTGTGTCTGTCCGAAGTCAGTGGTATGTTTCTATGGGTGGGGCTCTGTCCTACATCAGCAGTGTGCCTCCTTTCCTTTGTAGAACAACGTTCTTGTTTTCTGTGTGTCAGGTAAGCTACCTTTTTCTGTGTGTTCAGGTTAGTCCGTGCTCTTAGCTGTCAGTCTTGTGTTAGTTGTGGTCTACCTTCTTGTGCGACAGGTTGGGTCCCTGTTTGTAGATATCGCCTGTCCTGCCTCAGCCCCCACTCACCCTCTGCCCCTCAGCCGGGCCCCAGTGTGCTGATGGTGGTGTAGCTCAGCCTGGACAGTGAAGCAATGGAGGGGGTGGGAGGGTCCTCCTCTGGAAGAGGCCTGGGGCGAGCTCGTGGAGGCCGTGGACAGCAGCGGGCGCACGTGTCCAGGCAGGCCTGGCGAAAGCGCCGGTGCATGAAGCAGTAGACCAGAGGGTTGACACAGGCCGAGGCATAGCTCAGCAAGTGAATGAAGGAGATCGGGGCACCGGAGAGTGCGCGGTGTGCACCTGGGCCATCAAAGGCGCGCCACGTGTTGGCGCTGTACACTGGCAGCCAACACAGGAAAAAGAGCACAACGATTACCAGCAACATTCGCACCACGCGCTTCTTAGCCAGCAGCTTGGCCTGGGTGGGCCGGGGGCCGGGGCCTAGCACAGGAGTGGGGGCCGTCAGCGCCGACAGCTCCAGCGCGGGCCGGGAAAGACGTGGAAGTTGCACGTAGCAGCCGTCGCTGTCCTCACCACTCAGGCCAGTCTCGGGCCGGCAACGCCCATTCTGCTGGACAGGACCTGAACACAGAGGGCAGGTGATGAGAGCAGAGGCAGTCCTCCCAACCTCCAGCTCAACCCCCAGCTGACCTCACTTCCCAGACTTAACCCGGTTTCCAGCCTCCTTCTCATGCTCCTTTCAGACCCACCTACTTTAGGTCCCACCTTCTTCCCAAAGCTCCGCCCCTGCTGGATTTCCCCACCTGCTGTGGCCCCACCTTGGCTTCGGACCCGGCTTTGGCTCTCGCTGTCACTGTCACCGTCAAAGCGAAGTCCTAAGTAAAGCTCGCGGGAGATAAGCCCATAGGCCACGGCCATAACTACACCCGGGACGAAGAACAAGAGCAGGAGCAGCAGTACCGACCTGGAGACAGAATACAGACCAATCACGCGAGTCTCTGTCCAGCTACAAACACAGACGGAGGAAGAGCCAAGGACTAATGTTTCTAGCGGTATGGCCAGAATCCTACTCCTTCTAGCGGCCGTGCCAGGAGACAGCGCGAGTCCAGCTACAAACACAGACGGAGGAAGAGCCAAGGACTAATGTTTCTAGCGGTATGGCCAGGTATGTCAGGTAGGAGTAGGATTTTGGGGTGCCACTGGGAAGGGCTAGAAAACTTGGGAGGGGCCCCGAATTGGAATCCCAAGGTGATAGGTGCGGAGTGGGAATTGGTGTGGTAATTCTTGGAGCAGCTGGAGGAAGGTTCTGGGGAATGGTGCTAAGCACCTGGTGGAGATGGATAAGGGCATTCCTAGAACTAGGTCATGGGCACTCTCACCAAGTCTGGCTGACCCGTGCACTGGGCCAGCGATGCACACACTGCAGCACACGGGGCCCCACTGGTTGCACGACGGTGTACACAGGGTAGGGCACCATGAGCAGTCCGGACAGCAGCCACGTGGCTACGATCACACGAGCCGCGTGGGAGCGAGTCTGCCACACACGCGCCTGCAGTGGTCGACAGATGGCGCTGTACCGTTCCAGGGCGATGGCTACGAGACTTAGCGTGGACACACTCACAGACACCCCTAAGCAAGGGAAGAGCAAGGGGTCACCTGGGAAACTGGCACTACACACTCACCAGTGTGTCTTCCTCAACCCCCACCGAGAAAGCCCCCTACATCCAGCAGGACTTTTGGAGGAGAAAGGGATAAGGGGAGCCTGGTGGTTATCTCACCCACCCATGAGGTAGGAAATCGCCTTGCAGATGACTGTGCCAAAGATGAATGTGCCCATGAGATTGGGCAGGAGGGTGAAGGGCATGCAAGCCACAGCCAGCAGGAGGTCGCTGACTGCCAGTGAGAGCAGGAAGGCATTGGTGACAGTCCTCAGGCGGCGGCTCAGTCCCAGCACCACGATGATGAGCACATTTCCTCCAACACTCATCAAAAAGATCACTGCATACAGGGTGACTCTAACGGCCAGCTCCAGTTCTGGACAGGAAAAGGGAGAGGTGGCAGTAGAGGATTTGGTGCTGACTTAGCCAGATCCCTTATCCCACTTATCCCTAACCCTCACTACTCAGTCAGATCCTTATATCCCAAGAACACTCCCTCCCATCCCTAACACACCCAGCAAGGACCTACTCAGTAAATGTTGAACTTGAATCCTTTACCCTTCTAACCCCTCAAGGCTTCAATTGGCCTAACTCTATCCTTCCTTAAGAAAGCCTGTCTCTTCTTAAGGTTTGTTCCAAATCCTTCCTTCTCTTTGCAGCTAAACTTCTTGAAAGAATTATTGGTACCTTCCCACTCTCTCTTCAGTCCACTACAGTCCAATGCTCTGTACCCCATGATTGTTTGGACACTTCTTCCCCAGGTCACTAATCTTTAACTGCCAAGTCCAAAGGTCCCTTCTTGGCTTATTCTATTTGACTTCCCTGTAGTATTTGACACTGTTGACCACCCCATTACCTTTTGAACCATGTCTGATCATGTACTTTATTTTCTAAACAAAAACAAAGGCAAAACAAACAAACAAAACCCTTCACTTACTCTCTACTGTCTGCAACCCCTTAGCAATGTCATCAGGATCCTCCAGGAACTGTCTTCTTCTTCCCACCTCCTCCCTGCACTGCAACCACTTAACTCACTGGATGACTCAGTTTCTTGAATGCATCATATGCACTCGTGACTCTCTTTATGCTCAAGTTGGTTTCTCAGCCTTGAATACTCTTTCACCAATCCCCCGCCCCCTTTCATCACTAACTTGCTTTCTGCATCTGGTGAATTCCTGTTCATCCCCTATCTGTCAAGACTCAGATGGACTGCCACCTCTTCCGTAAGGCCTTTCAGGATACCTCATTTGATATTAATCTCCCCTTCGTCTGACCCATGCATGTTCCTTACACATCTATTAGAACTCTTTTGACTTTCTGCCTTATATTTTAATTACCTCCAATCACTCATTCTCATTCAACAGACATGTACAGGGACTTCCTTTGTGCCAGGCACTGGAGAAAAAGAGATGAATGTGAGTATGACAAAGTCCCTGCCTGAGTATGACCAACATCTAGAGCTCACAGTGGAGAGGGAAACTGAGATACATAAACAGATAACTGCCACACCATATGATAAGGGTGAGGTTCAGGGATGCACAAGATGCTGTGGGAGCTCACAGAAGGGCACCTAGTGTTGCTGGGTGAGACAAAAGGCTGGGAGACTGACTCCATTCACTTGTGTCATTGTCTATTGGGAGATTAATTTCATCTTTGTACTTCCATATCGCAGCCCAGCAGGCCTAGACAAAATCAAATTGACTTGAACTGGACCGAATCACCTGCACCCATGGCCTCAGCATGAGGGAGGTTGGAGCTTGAAGGGAGAGAGGGCAGGGGTAGAAACTTCAGGATGGTGGTGAAGAAAGGGCCCAGAGGTGTGGCCCTCTCTTCTACAGCCCTATCTGGTACATTGGCTGACTCTTGTCTTAGCTCTCAAATTGAACTGTTTTCTCAAAACAATAATCAACTTATTTAGAAATTGTTGTAGACATAAAGTAAGTGTTATTTATAAGAAATCCCCAAACTGAACTCAGAAGTAACATTACTTACTCAGGACCACACACCTATTAAGGGGCTGAATCAGAACAGAAGCCAAGGCTCTGGATCCCTAAAATGCTTTGCCTCCTACTGCTCTCTTGCTCCTTTGTCATTCATCATACTGCCTCCTTCTTTTCCCAATCACATCTTAATCTAAATGCCTTTCTGCCTCTCTGTACTTTATCATGACATTCTCATTGCATTATTATGTCAAATTCTCTGTCTTCCCCACTATACTATGAGCTTCTTAAGAACAGGGGTAAGGTCTCTCTTGTTCTCCAGTGCATGCCTAGCACTTAGCATAATGTCCGGCACATGTGAGGCAGTCAACATGTGCTTGTTAATGAGACTTGAATAAGTCTGTCTTTCAATACAGAAATGTACCTGCTTTCCCCCTTCTTATCCATCTCTCATCTCTATAAAGGTGCTCCATCATGCCCACGCCTCTCTGCCACAGTCTTTTTGGAGACACATGTTGGAGGGTCCTTGGGGAATAAGTGACAAGCTGAGATTTCTGATACATTACTGTTGCTACTCTATACAAACAAATCTGTGTCTCCTTTAGAACCTAGGCCCCTCTCTGTAGGGAGGGATTATGGGAGGCTTATTGTGACAAATATGAGGGGTGTGTATGTGTGTATGTGTGTGTGTGTAGGGGGAAATAAAGAACCTTTGGGAAGGTGATCTCTGTCAGAGAGGTCCTTGGACCCAGAAAAAAGAGTTGGTGTCTATCTTGTACTCTCTGTGTCTCCTCCAAGTCCTCCTTCCTCCCACCCTTACTCCCGGCCCCTTGAACCTCTTTAGTTCCATTATCTTTCTTACATCCTCCTCTGGACATCTCTCTTCAACTAATTCTTGATGCAATTACCATTCCTCAAGTTGGCTCAGCTCTCTGAAGTGTGAAAAGCCCATTTCTCATTAATTCATCCAGCTGATGCGTCCCATGTGTGTGCCCTTGAGCTTGGCTAACTGTGCTGAGTGATAAGGATGAGGCTAGGCCTCCCCCTTATGAAGTTCCCACTCTGCCTGGGGACTCCTCAAAACTAGAGGACAAAGTCCCAGTAAAAATGACCAGCAATTGTATAGCACTTTGCTATTTTTACTGAGCATTCCTAGCTATTATCTTTTTCCTAGCCACCACTCTCTAGGTCTTGCTATCAAATGGTTAGGAGATGTGAAAAATTCTAATTAAAAGCAATCTTAAAGTCAGGGCTTTGGGAAGAAGGAGAGGGATGAGTAAGTGGAGCACAGGGAATTTTTAGGTCAGTGAAATTATTCTGTATGACACTACAGTGGTGGATACATATCATTATACATTTGTCAAAACCCATAGAACTGTACAACACAAAAAGTGAACCCTAATGTAAACTAGACTTCAGTTAATAATGTATCAGTGTTGGTTCATCAATTGTAGCAAATGCACCACACTAATGCAAGATATTAATAATAGGGTAAACTGTGTGTGTGTGTGTGTGTGTGTGTGTGTGGGAACACTGTACTTTCTGCTCAATTTTTCTGCAAACTAAAACTGTTCTACGAATAGTCAATTAGTCAATTAGTTTAAAAAAATCACACACACAAAATAAACCATAATTAAGACTCGTGTGTGTGTGTGTGTGTGTGTGTGTGTGTGTGCATATGCATCCACATGTGTTGGGGTGGTGGAATACGAGTGACCACAGTAGATTCAGTGACTAGGAACTTAAGGCAGGAGTGGAATCATGGGAGATGGTACCTCCTGGTGTACAGCCACTAGTGTCTTGATAGTCTAGTCTATCTGTGGGAATCAGTTGCTTGGGGACAAGAGGAGAGCAGAAATCAGAGTAGGAGACTCAGAAGACGGGGACAGTTCAGCTTTTCTTCTGAGTTCTAGAGGATCTGCATTCATGCTGTCTAGATAATGGCAGAGAAGTAGGAGCATAAAAACTTGAGACAATGTGACATAAAATAAAAACTGGGCTTTTGTAAGAATGTACTGCACAGAACATTGAAACTGCTGCTACCTCAAATTCTACTTTCCACCAGGGTGTTGAATCTGGTCACCCATGCACACAGACATCAAAGTAATACTCATGTTTTTGTAGTGAGCATGGATAGCATGCAACTGACTCTGGGTAATAGCTGGGTGAATGAATGGAGGACATCTAAGTGTCAGCAGATACTGAGGGAGCAGAAGTAATACGGAAGGGTTTGTAGGTAATATCAGAGTGAGCATTGGGTAATAATATCTGGGTGGGTGGAAGTAACTCATTTCTGTGGGCAATATCCAGAGAAGGGTGGCATCTACATATCTATAGGTAATATGTGATTGAGGGTGGTTACATTTAAGTTTAGGTAATATCTGAGTAAGTGTTGTAACTTTTGAATGAGCAAGGATAATATCCAAGTCTCTGTAGATAATATTGCATTTTGTAGGGAACACCTTCAGGAAGCATGAGTTATGTTCAGAGGTCTGTGTGTGCATGGGGAATATACAAGTGATGACAGTAATAGCTTAGTGTGCAGAGGTAATATCCAAGTATGTGTGGGAAGTATAGATGTAAGATATCAAGGTAACATGCTAAGTTAAGCTAAGATGTTAATCTTGATAGAGTAAAATAACTGAGCACCTGAGTGAACACAGCTAATATCTGAGTCTTTGCAGGTAATATCTGAATGTGTGAGAGTAATATATGTGATTTTATGTGTAATATCTGGAGAAAGGTTACTTTAGTGAACATGGGGGATATCTGATTGTGTGTGGATAATATTAAAATGAAAGTGAGTAGCGTTTGATGGATGGGTAACATCTAAGAGACTGGGGCAACATTAAAGTGAGTGTAGATAACATCTGTCTTTCTGTGGGCAGCATCTGAGTAAACATGGAAATACTCCAGGCTGCATGGATTACATGAGAATAAAGTGGTAACATTAACATTTCTATTGGTAACATTGGAGTGAGCCTGGGTAACATATGCCTCTGAGGGATAGTATCTGAGTGAGTGTGGCTGACAGGGTCTCTGTGTGTAATGTCTGCTGCCTGGGTAACGTCCAAATGTATGTCAGCAGCAACATCCAGGTAAGTGAGGCCCAGTCTTGCACCTGTTCTGAATTGCTCCACATGCTGCTTCCTCAGGGCCCTTGCTCTGTTAACTATCCCTTTTCTCACCTGCACCTTCAACCTTCCTCTTTCTTGGCCTATTTCTCATCAAAATTTTTAAAATGCTTGTCTTTACTACACATACACACACGACAAAACTACACAAACACACACCCTTCCTGAAACCCATGCTATTTCTGGCACTATCCTGTTTTTCTGTGTGTCTCTCTCTCCCTGCCAAACTTCTTCAAAGTTTTGTCTACACACCCTGGTTCACTTCTCACAACCCCCTCCTCCACCAGTCCAATCTTCAACCTACTGTACGAGGGCACTTCAAAGAGTTCATGGCATGATTTGTATTATATTTTAATTGTATTTTTTATGAACTTTTTGAGGTACCCTCATACAGTCAGGCCTCAATACCCACAACTTTTCCTAAGGACTTCGTTATTGAATCCAAAGGATGCTGTTCTGACTGTTCTGTCCTCATCTGACTTACATAGGCAGCATTTGACATCACTTACTCCACCCTGCTTGATACTCTCTTTTTCCTTGCTTTTTGGAAGGACACAGCTTCTGGCTGATGGTTTCATCTGAATATCCTTCATGGACTCTCCTTCCTCTCTCTGTCTTTTAAATATTGGTCTTTTGCAGGATCCTGTCCTTGGACCTTTTTTCTTCTCATTCTCCACAATCTTTGTATGATTTTGTCTATCCTGTGAGTCTCCTCTAGACAAACGCCTTTCAAGTTTATGTTTCTACCTTTCAGACCTCTCCCATAATTTCCAGACCTCTGGATTCAATAGCTTACTGGGCAACACCACCACCTGCATATAAACTTAGTGGGTTCCAAACTGAATTTAAAATCTCCTCTTTCAAATCCGTTTTTGCTCCTTTGTTATTGATCTCATTGTATAGCACCAACATCCATTCAATTGTCTAAGCCAGAAACCTGGATATCATCCCTTGACCTCTTCCACTCTCTCCATTTCTGATCGGTTGCCAAGTTCTGTTGATTCCACTTCCAGAAGTGGCTCTCACATCAATCTACTTCCCTCCATCCCCACTGCCAGTACCTTAGTCTAAGCTAGCATCATCTTTCACTTGGACCAGTGTAATATAATAGCCACCTACATGTCCTCTTGCCTTCCATCTCATGTCCTCCAATCCATCCTCCACACTACAGAAGCAATCCTGGCAGTACCACTGAATCTTTCAGTAGTTCCCATTGTCCTTAGGATAAAATCCACACTCCTTAGCCAGGACTATAAGGTCTCTAGCCTGAGTGATTACTATTCCCCTTTTATGGTATATGTTTTAGCCGCTCAGAAACGATGTCACACAGAACAAAATTTCATGATTTAAACATCCTGCCCCTCACTTGGGATGCCTTTTGCATCTTCTGTCCCTTCATTTGGCTGGCTCTCCATCAACTTTTTGAGTTCAGTTTGTACCTCATCTCCTTAGGAGGCCGAGCTTAACTCCCACTGCTAGGCTAGACCAGAGCTGCTCCTCTGGTGGTGTTCCTACTATCTCCCCCTATCAAGGCACTTCTCCTTTGTAAGCAATTCCCTGCGTACTTGTCTGTCGCCCCCACTGGCTCTAAGCTCCACGAAGTAGGAATTTTGTCAATTTTGTTTAACTTACATTCCCGCTGTCTAGTACAATCTCTGGTTCAATAAATATTTGCTGAATGAAAGAATCTAAGTGAAAGTGTGTAATCCTGGGCTGAGAAAGCATGAATTATTTTGAGGGGTAAATAAATACTTGGACTACAATTTATTCCAACTTTCCCTTCTTGACTTTAGAATAGTTTCCTTCTGCCTAACACTGTTTCCTCTCCTAGAATCCTACTCCTTCCTTTTATGTCTACTGAACTCTAACTTGAAGACCCAGCTCCAGGTTCTATCCTCTGTGAAGTTCTTGGACCCTATCTCCTATGGGTGCCCACAGTTTACACCCTCTTGTGGGACTTCCATGATGACTGATTCTTCCATTGGCTTGTCTCCTCTCTACATTTGACTATAGATGGATGAGGGTGCAGACTGGGTCTAGTTCATCCCTGTGTGCCCAGCACCTAGCCTAGGGACTACAATAGCAGGTGTTCAGTAAACACTGAAGGAAAGGAAGGGTGCAAGAAGGGAAATATATGTGTGTGTGTGTGTGTGTGTATATATATATTTGTATTGTGTATGTGTGTGTGGAGAGAGAGCAAGAGAGTGAGCGAGCGAGCGAGCGAGCGAGCGAGAGAGAGAGAGAGAGAGAGATATGAGGGCAGTGAAAGTCATTTTGAGGACTGAGTGATTGGAAGCAGTCTGAAGGGGTGGGGTGGGGAGAGAAGATAATGACACAAAGGGATGGGGTAATGAATGAAGGAGGCAGCCAGGCTCTAGGAGGGGGAGACCTGAAGAGAGGCAGGGTGGAGAGAGGGCTTGGAGACATTGCTTGGAGAGAGAGAAAGAGAGATGGCACAAAGCCTTGAGAACAAGTCCAACTCGGGAGGCAGAGGGGTTTGAGGATGAGTGAGATGGAGACAGGTGGCTCTAACCAGTTTCCCCTGGTGTTCATGAAATTCAGATTTGAGGATCTTTTTTAGGAAGGCTGGGGGTGGGGGTGAGGGGCACAGGAGATTATAACTCTAACTTCCTTTTCAGAGGAACTCCCTCCTTCCAGAGTACTCCCTCCTCAATCAGCCCCTTTCTTTTCCTAATCTCGCCTGCCTTCCTTCTTTCCTTTCCCTATTGTGGCTCCATGAACTGGATGTAAAAGGAAAAGAGGTCTGGAAGTGTTGGCAAGAGGAGGTCCTTGCCTCGGGACAGTCTAGGAGGGGGCTGTGCTTTGGGTTAACCAGGAGCTCTAGGTGTGACCAGGGTGTGAAGGGGTTCTGAGCAGGTGGTGTGAAGCTGTGATGGAGTTATAAGAGCTGTGGGAGCTGAATGTGTGAGGGGGAGCTGTTTGGGGGCTGAGGGGATACTAGGAGGGGGAATAGTGTGGGCGTCTGAGGAGGCAGTGTAGAGAGGTCTTGGGGGGCCTCTGTTAGTGTAACGGGGCGCAGTGAGAAGGAGCTTGTTCAGGGGGCTTTGGGAGGTACCTACCTCGTGTCCCGGCTCCGCGGATGCGAGGGGACTCGCAGCTGAGGTTGCCAGTACTGCTGCTGTTGAGGAAGGGGCCACCCGCGCGGCACAGGGACGCCCCCGGCCCAGGTCCGGATCCCTGCACGCTCCGGTTCAGCTTCAGGAGCTCCATCGGTCCCGCCGAGCCCGCTGCCTCACTCAGCTCGGCCCGGCGGGCTCCCGCCACGGCTCCACCTGCCCGCTCCGAGATTCCTGCTCAGGCTCCCGCCCCCACCTCCCGCCCGCCTGGTCCCCGCCCCCAACCCCGGCCTCTGCGGCTCCACTCCCGCTCCGCTCGCCCCGCCTAGGCTCGATGCCTCCCCGGCTCTGATCTGCCTCTGTCCCACTGGGTGACTCTCCGCCCCCTCCCCAGCTCGGGAGTTCCCCCCTCCCCGTCCCGGGTGCTGTCCTCCAGGTTCGCCCCCTTCCCTAATCTCTCCCGTCTTTTCTTAGAGCCTTCTCTCTTGCCCACCCCTCTTTCCCACCGCCTCCGACTCCGCGGAATTCTTGGGGAGGGGAGAGAGATTGTGGGTGTTAGCTGTGTCGGGGGAGGTTGCGGGGGGAGAAAGGATAAGAGGGATGGGATAGGGTGTGGCTACCGCGGGGTCCAGCATCCTTCTCTGGTGGGTCAGAGGACCTGGAGGTGGCATTGGAGACCCCGCTGCTGCGCAGATGCTCTAGCCTGCGCCTAGCACCACGGTTACCGTACTGTGCCGCAGTGGCATCAGTGGCCGTGACACTGTTGCTACCATAGTTCTCTGCAGCTCCTAGCCGCAGGACTGAGGTAACCTCTGCATCTGGTCCCGCATCCTCCATCTCCTTTCTCAGGCCCAACACCCAGGCTTCCACCCAATGCTCCCAAAGAATCCTAAGCAGTGGGGAGAAGAGGGAAGTCGGGGGAGGTTGGCATTTGTTCCCAGGGGAGCGACGGCAGGGGAAAGGGCTGCCTGAAGGAAGAGTCTGACTTGGGTTTTGAGGGCAGTCAGGGGTGGTAGTGAGAACTAGCCAGGATAAACCGCGGTGGGGTGAGAGTGGGGTATGATTCCAGTCCCCTCCCAGCGCAGGCAGCACAGGGAAGGAGGCGGCTGGCCCTCTCCGCGGTCTCCAGGCAGCGCCCATCCCCACCCGACACGCTGACGTTCCCTGTTTGCTCTCAGCGCAGGTGGAACCGCTTATGTAGGGTGTCAGGTTCCCACGAGAGGGGGCCGGAAGGGGGCTGGGTCACTGGGGACAGTGGGAACAAAGCCAAACGGTGGGTGTGCAGGACTGACGTGGATTCAGTTCTTTGGGACAGTACTTGCCTGTACTGTTTCAGCCCTGTTCCCTATCCATTCTCCTATAATTCCAGAGAAACTCCAATATGACCTGAAATTCCATCTTCTGGCCCCCGGCAGCAGCTGTAAGAGGTGGAGGCATCGGCGGAAGAAAACATTAGAATGAGGATGGGATCTGGATTTATGGGGAATTCAGAGAGCACCTAACTAACCAATCTTTGGGGAGGACCTTTTCCAGCCAGCACTGAGTTTGCAGGGGCTGAAGCACTGAAGGAGAGTTTAAACCTGGGGTGGGTAGGGATGTTATCACCTGCTCCCCCTTCTCTTCCTCTTGGCACTGCCTGCTTTGCACATCAGAGAGCCCTGGACCAGGGCAGCTTGATTTGCTGTTTGTTCAGTTCCAGCACAGGTGGAACCTCAGATAACCTGTTGAACTTTTCCCATATCAGGTAGATTGGTAGGGAGTGCAGGTAAGAGAGCAGAGGAAATGTTGGGCAGAGAGGAGTGAAAATTGAAGTAGATGGGCATTCACTTATTCAGCAAACCATGTGCCAGTTATAGGGCTGTGCACTAGCTGTCTGATCAGTCTGTCTCTGAATAGCACCCACTCTACTGGGGATTTTCCCAAGTACACCAATGACTGCAGTGTAAGATCATAAGTGCATCCACTAAGATGCAACATCAGAAATTTAAGAATCATCCTTGATGCCTTATTCCCTTATGGTCTTTCATCCCTGTGGTAGAGGCTCTGATGCAAAACCCAGACTCCTCTTCAAAAATGAAGGATTTACTCTCCAGCTGCTGAGAGTGCTGCTGGAAGACAGTACTCCACTGTCAGCCCCTTTCAAGAATTGCCTGATCAGAAGAAAGACAGCTCATCCAAGGTCATGTTCCCTTTCTGGGGCATCCTACATCCAATGACTCATCAGCACAGAAGTATAAAGGTTCAATCCTTTTACTCCAAAGGAGGACAACTCTGAAAAAATGTTCACAACCCCAGAGCTCCTCATGGGCTTGACCGAGGTCTCCTTTTCCCAAGTATGCCAATGATTATACCCCTAAGTGGGCCACTGTATTTGACTGATGCCTCCCTACATCCATCCTCCACCTGATAGCCAGAGTGATATGTTCAGAATACAAATATGATTATGTCACTCTTCTAAACTTTGCTTTTGGGATAGAGAAAACCTTTTGACTGGATTTATGAAGTCTGGATGGCCTGGATACTACTGACTGACCTCTCTAGCCACCTTATTTCAAGTCATTATGGTTCTTGTTTTCTCCCCTTTGGACCCACTGGCCTTCCTTTAGACCCCCCCCCCTTTTTTTTTGACTGGTAAGGGGATCACAACCCTTGGCATGGTGTGGTCTGCACCACTCTCAGCCAGTGAGCGCACCAGCCATCCCCATATAGGATCTGAACCCACGGCCTTGGCGCTCCCAGCGCCGCACTCTCCTGGTTGAGCCACAGGGTCGGCCCTAGACCCTTTTTTTGCTTGATGTCCTTCAGTTACATGACTTTTGCATCTGCTCTTGAAGCTTCTCTTTTCCTTCTCTACCTAATTAACTCACTCATCTATCTGATCTCAGCTCAAGCAGCAATTCCTCAGGGTTGTTTTTTCTGGCTTCCTCTCTTGTAGTAGGCAGAATTAGAAGATGACCTCCAGTGACTCTCACCCTTGTATAGTTTTCTTCTCTCCAGTGTGGGTGAACCTCTGAATATGATGAAGTACTATGACTCTCATGATTATGTTACATGGCAAAAGGAATTTTGCAGATGAAATTAATGTTACTAATTAGATGAGCTCAAGGTGGAGAGATTATTCGATTAGTCTTAACCAAATCACATGAGTCCTTCAAAAGCCAAGGGTTTTCTCTGGCTGGCAGCAGAAGAGGAAATCGGAGAGATTTGAAGAATAGGAAAGATTTCAACACACTGTTGATGGCTTGAAGATGGAAGGGACCATGGGGAAAGGAATGTAGGTAGCTGTTCCTGGCTTGAGGATGGAGGAAGAGACAGGACAAGTACCTGAGAGTGTCCTTTGGCTAAGAACAGTCTCCAGCTGACAGCCAGCAAAAGAACAAGAACTCCAGTCCTCCCCTGAATGTCTAAAAGAAAATTCAGTCTGGCTGACATCTTGACTTTAACCTTGTGAAACCCTGAGCAGAGAATCCAGCCACACTGTGTCAACTTCTGGGCAACAGATCTGTGAGCTAATAAACGGGTGCTGTTTTAAGCCACTAAATTAATAGTGATTTGTTATAGTAGCAACAGAAAAAATAACACACCTCCCATCTCAGGATCAGCAAATGTAGATCCTTACAAGCCATGCAAGTAAAATCTGGGAGCAATGGAAATTTGTTAAGATTTACAAATATTTGGAAAGATTACATGGGCAGCTAGAATGGAGAGCAACTTAAGGGTAGGACCAATTGGGAGTACATGACAGTAATTCAAGTGAGAGATGATAGTGGCTTGAACTAAAGTCATGGAGGTAGTGGAGAAGACAGATCCAAGAGCTACTTAGGAGGTAGAGAGGCAGAATTTGGAGACTGTTTGCATGTGCATGGTGAGGGAAAAGGATGAGATAAAAATGAATAACAAATCAATTCAAAATGGATTAAAGACTTAAGTATAAGACCTGAAACTGTAAAATTACTAAGGGAAAATATAGGTGAAACACTTCAGCAACTAGGTCTGGGCACAGGCACAGACTTTATGTACAAGAGCCCAAAAGCATACGCAGTAAAAGAAAAAATAAACAAATGAGACTATATCAAACTAAAAAGCTTCTGTACAGCAAAGGAAACAATCAACAAAGTGAAACGACAACCTACAGAGTGGGAGAAAATTTTTGCTAACTATGCCTCTGACAAGGGATTAATATCCATAATATACAAGGAACTCAAGCAATTACACAGTAAAAAAACAAATAACTCAATTAAAAAATGGGAAAAGGAGCTGAACAGACATTTTTCAAAGGAAGACATACAAATGGCCAACAGGTACATGAAAAAATGCTCAACATCACTAGTCATCAGGGAAATGCAGATTAAAACCACATTGAGACCACCTCACCCCAGTTAGACTGGCTATAATAAAAAAGATGATGAATAACAAATGCTGAGGAGGGTGTGGAGAGAAGGCAACACTCTTACACTGTTGGTGGGACTGTAAATTAGCACAACCACTACAGAAAATGGTATGGAGTTTTCTCAAACAACTACAGATAGATCTTCCATACGATCCAGCAATGTCACTTCTGGGTATATAGCCAGAGGAATGGAAATCATCATGTCGAAGGGATACCTGCACTCTCATGTTCATCGCAGCTCTGTTTACAATAGCCGAGACATGGAACCAACCTAAATGTTCATCGATGGATAATTGAATAAGGAAACTGTGGTATATATACACCATGGAATACTATTCTTCCATAAAAAAGAATGAAATACTCCCATTTGCAACAACATGGATGAACCTGAAGAAACTTATGTTGAGTGAAATAAGCAAAGCACAGAGGGATAAATACCTCATGTACTCACTCATATGTGAGAGTTAAGAGAGAAAGAAGGAAGGAAAGAAAGACCACAGTAGAGCGTTGGACTTGCAGAGAGAGAGAATGTTCCTTGGGCTACAAAGTGGAGTCGGGGGAAGGAAGGGGAAGGGAGAGGGATGTTGGGGGTAATTGGGTGGGGGACACAGGGTACAAATGCAATATGTGGTAATGGGCATGCTGCCAGTATGGATCTCACCCTCACATCATGGGCATGAGGGGTGACAATCAGCTTTGTATCTCATGAATATTCATAACCAATAAAAAATGAAAAAAAAAACATTTCTGGTAACCAGATAGGAAACTGTTTGATGATTACCTACTATGTACCAGGCACGTTACTTTTAATTACATTTAAGTCTCACAAAGAACTATAAATTTAGGTCCAAATTTAGGAAATCACTATTTTAGATG